TTTTAAAATAAAACATCTTTTAATGTATTTTCACTTTGAAGCTAAGATTTTTATAACATATAACTTAATATTTACAAAACGACATTGAATCATCTAATATTTAGTTAATTGCCTTTATAAACAATGATCTTTTTAAATGTTAAGACATTAAAAGGACATTGCCATCATGATCCAAACTTTTAGAGCCCACACAATTCTGTTTGTTTTTTTTAAAAGGGTCTTACATAGCCCAGGCTGGCCTTCAATTCACTATGTAACGGAGGCTATCCTTCAACTCATGATTCTACTTTCAACTTCCTGTGTGCTGAATTACAGGCATGTGTTAGCATGCATAGCTGTGATCTATACAATTATTTAAAGGTAGATGGGCATGGTGACATAAGCTTTTAATCCCAGCACCTGGGAGGCAGAGCGAGGCAGACAGATCTTTGTGATTTTGACGCTAGCCTGGTCTACATAGCAAGTTCCAGACCAGTTGGGGCTATAGGGTGACCCTGTCTCAAAAAGACAAAAAACAAAACAATTCTTTAAAGGTATCTATCACCCCAAAGCTCACTTTCCTTAATGGGGGGGGGGTGAGCCCAATTCAAAACAAGGACTGCTACCCATTTTTCAAGACATTCTATTATAACAAATGATAAATTCAAAGAGAAATACTGATGTTACAATTGGCGACATTTAAGAATACATCTTAAACACTGTAAATATCCAATAGGGTACAGCACTTTGGCTCTAAGTTCCTTTGGCTATAGAGATATAATTGTGTTTTAAATAAACGTATTGAAACATTACTTCTGGGAGAACTGTATGACCATTTCATTACAGTATATAATTAACTGTACCAATAATGAAGAACAGTGCTCACATGAAATGGTTAACAGTGCTGAGCTGGTTTCTCTTAGGAAATGGGTTTTTCACAAATACCATATCCCTTTATACATTTACCTTTATACAATGTCAATGAAAGCAAAGTATGTCAGTTTCGCTGCTCTAATGATTAGATCCATTTCGTGCTTTAAAATACAACTGAAATCCACAGGAAAATTTTAAAGTAATATATTGTTTAAAATCACAGTTTAAGTAAAGAAAGATTTTTTAAGTTCAGTGAGTAACTCAGTAAGAAAGCCTGACAGAGACAAACAGTGCCTGGTCACTGGTTAGCTATTTGTTTTTCATTAAAATCAGAACTGATTTAAATATTCAAATGCATCCTTAAAGAATACAGCTAACTGATATTTTGGAGCGTCAAAACATAATTTAAGGGAAAAAAAAAAAAAAAAAAAAAAAAAAAAAAAAAGAGTTGGGGTCTAGAGATGCTACCCAGGCTGGCTTGGAACTTGTGAGCTCAAGAGATCCTCCTACCCTTGTCTTCCAAGTAGCTGGGACTACAGGGGCCTGGACCCCAACAGAAAAACTATTTCTTTAGGTTGTTTTTGGTGTTGCAGAAATAATGAACTGCTGCATGATCAACGCTATCTTCTGATGCATCATTTTAAAAGGCTGAATCCTTTTTGACATGATGTATTTTTAGGAAAGAACTATGGCAAAGGGGTTTTTATTTTCTTCTTTTTAAAAAGCCCTTGTACTAGTGTTTAGTACTTTATGACCATGAGCAAATTAAGGTATTTAGAGCTGACAGGCAGTTGAACTGCGCCATATAAAAATGAATTTCATCAAAGCTTACACTTTTACTACATATATAGCAATGCATCCATTCATAAAAGGGCACTTTATACAAGTGAAGTAAAGCAAAATTTTGATTGGTTGACACACAAAGCAGGGAGTGTTTCCAGCAACACTGGTCAGTGGCACCTGCTGTTCTGTGGCTTTTATCTGTTTACTGAGCAAGAGCTTTGTATTACGTTTTCTTCATCCTCTGATCCAGTTCATGCTGGTGTTTAATAAGACGTTCTATTTCTGTTCCAAGTGTTTGTAGATTTTCCTTTAATAAGTGGGGGAAGAGAAAACAGAAGTACTAAATATAATAAAAACACTGTTTGAAATATTTTTGCCTGAGTGATTAGTCCTAAATACCAAATGAGATAAACTAGATACGCAAACATTTTGGTGAAATAGGCTTGTCAATTTCAAAGTTGTATTTAATCGTTTTATTGAGGCTACAGCAAGTTTTAGTGCCTAAAATGATTACTCAGATTTAAAAAAACTGTCTTTTAAATCTATTACTAGCTATCAAGGCCTATCATAGTAAAGATAGAATAACTAGGTCAGTCAATAGCTACAAAAAATAAAGCCATAAAATACATTTAAAATGCTGTAATATTTTAAATGTTTTAAGAATTAATTATAATGTATGGAAATGGCCATCCACTGTAAAGTAAGCAATTCACCTCAGTGTCTATCCAATAACTAAACTGACTTAGTTCAAACAAGTATTCTTTTCAAAGGAGAAAAAAATGCACTAATTTATCTCTGGGTAAAAGAGATAAAATTGACTGTTATAAAAACAGTCAAAGTGCTACATGAGACCATAAAAGAGTCACTATTCTGCCAAATTTACTGACTGGTAAATGAGTAAGAAACACAAATACCTTCAAAGTAATATTTTTTAGTAATGTATCTTCCAAAACAGCCTGTAACTTTCGGTTGATCTCCAGAGAGAGTTCCAGTGTTAGGCCACTATCAGCAGGGTGGGATGTGTACAAGGACGCCATGATGCCACCGCGTCTACTCAAATGCACTTTGTTAAAGTCAGATGCTTCTGAAGAAAGTGTGCCTGATTCTTCTCGTAAAATGTAACTCTGAATTATTCTGCAAAACAAAATGACACCCTCACTGTGTGCTTGCAGAGTAAGAAAACTGGAATTTGTAAGAATCAATGAATCATTAGCATGAAGATGACTAGCATAAAATATATTCCTATTAGGTAATAATCTACATTAGCAAAGAATTTTCCTTATTAGGTGATTTCTTAAATTGTCCCATTTTGGTTCTGTCATGGTATTTAAGGAAATAAACACCGCTTTTTTCTTTCTTCTCTTATTTATGTGCAATTATTTCAGTCATTACTGGCTTGATTTCTGTTAATATTTTCTATTAACTATCATTTAACTTTTAAATCTCTATTTTGCCCTTTATTTACAAACCCCAAAGCAAACTTTCTACAGGTCTGAAATTACTTCAAAATATTTAAAAGGTTTAGGAAGAGATATGCAATATATACAATTCTTATTTAAAATAATATGGTATTTGTGAGAGGTATGTGGCATAGCTCAAACTATGAGGTCAGTCAGGGCTGGGTCTCCATCTCCAGCTCTGAGTCTGTCCCTTACAAAATAGGTGCTAGATCTGAATTTAGTTAACTAATCTGCACATCCAGATCACTCACTTTGAGCGTACCTAAGCAATTGATGAGATAATCCCAAGCCACAGGCATAGTACCTTATACTAGAAGGTGCTCAATTAATTAGTTAGGAGGAAAGCCCTCAAAACATCATGAAGGGCGTGGCGTCACACGCCTTTAATCCCAGTGCTCGGGAGGCCAAGGCAGGTGGATCTCTGTGACTTCAAAGCCAGGCTGATAGTGAGTTCCAAGCCAGCTGTGGCTACATGGAGACCCTGTCTCAAAAAGAACCTCCTCCCCCTGACCCTGAAAAAAAAAAAAAAAATTCATATATCTCTTAGAGTCATAGTCATTTTTGAAAGCTACTTTTTAAAATCCAAGGTTATTTTATAATGTTGAAAAAAACACTTTAAAACAAAATTCTACTCAACAGTGCTTCGCCTTAAAGGGAAGACCTGACCTTTCATCTTTGTATTCTCCAAGTCTAGAATACAACAGAGGACCAAAAAAGACAAAAAAATCGAATGACTATGACTACAGAATCCAGCAGGCACACGACGCTTGCCTATAGCCCCAGCTACTCAGGAGGCTGAGGCAGGATTATTTGAGCCCAGGAATTCAAGGCCAGCCTGGACAATATGATGAAACCCCATGGAAAGGGCTGGCTCTCCATTAGTTTTTGAAGCCATGCAAATGTAGTTATTTTGGTCATGATTGTTCTACCACAATAATACATACTTGGTTTTTTTTCTTATTTCTTCTACCAACTGTTTGATGTGGTCCTCCATAAACTCTATCTTTTCATTTTTCCGTGCATGTGCTTTCTGCAACCTTACAATCCTCTCAATCAGCATGGCCTTGTCCACTTCTGGAAAGCTATCCACAACTACTGATGACCCAGTATTTTCTGGAGATCGATCTTCAGCACTGCTTCGAGCATTAAGTGATCCTGAAGACAGAGAAAATTCAGCTTAAAGAGCATATATGTAATCTAGTATCCCTCATATTTGTTCTAGTAACACTTTCAAACAGTCACTAAATCTTTTAGAGTTGGGTAAAGAACACATTATAGGTCATTTGTGCGAATTCTTATTTCTGAAAATACTGACCAGAAAAGTACTAAAGGATTATCTGTTACACAACTCAGGAACAGGATGAGGAATTGGTAACAGAACAAATATTCTTAAAAAAAAAAAAATACCAAGTCTAAAATAATTAAAAAATTAAAGTATAAGAAAATTGAAGGGAAAATAAAAAGCAGAATGGGCAGGAGAAGCAAAGGTATTGAACTACAGAGACAGAAACAGAGGACAGAACACAGCACAGCTGGGTTAAGCTCTGGAGCCAGCCTGCCTCCACTCAAATCCTACTCTACTTACTAGCTGTGTGACTCCGGACACATCAAACTCTCAGTGCCCTGGTTACTTCCATTTAAAATGGAAATAGTCACACATAATTTACCCCATGGAACTGTGATCCTCATTTAGACTCAATACATGCAATGCATTTAGAACAGAGCACACGTTAAGTCATGTGTAAGCTCTTATTATCGACATCAGTGAGACGAATTTCTGATCCTTTTCACCCTACAACAGGCTTTTTCAACCACAATTTAAAGTAGATTTAATCTGAGACAAATAATATATACTATCTAATATTAAACAACCAATAAGATGGTTTAGTTGGGATCTAAGATACAGTGGTAATTTCAAACCATTTCTTTTCTACTACATATTTTGTCTACTATAGTAACTACTGATGTTTTGACACCTACTGCATAAATTCCTAGGAGATTAGTATAGTGCAGTGACTGTAACAGAAAGTAAGAGATTAAGAGGAAAGAGAGGGAGGCAGAGAAAAAGAGAGACAGAAAGAAAATGAATCAAACACACAACTACCCCTCCGTATCTGTGAGTCCCATCCATGGGTTCAACCAATCTCAGATTGGAAATATTTTTTAAGAATTGTCTATACTAGGGGCTGGAGAGATGGCTCAGTGGTTAAGAGAACTGACTGCTCTTGCAGAGGACCCAGGTTCGATTCCCAGCACCCACATGGCGGCTATGAACCGTCCTTAACTCCAGTTCCAGGGGAATCCAAAACCCTCTTCTGACCTCTGCAGCATTGCATGACACAGGTGCACTGACAGACATGCAGGCAATATATTCATACACATAAAGTAAAAATAAAATATTAAAAAAAAGAACCGTCTATACTATACATGTACAGATTTTCATGTCCTGAGCAAACAGTCTTTTAACAGCTATTTCTCTATCACTCACATTTTAACAGGTTTAAGTAACCCAGAGATGATTTAAAGCAGATGGGAAGACATGTACGGGCTATATACAAATAAAGGCATTTGAAGCATCTCAGGATTTTGGTATTCAATGGGTGTTCCAGAACCATCCCCTGCAGATACCAAAGGGTAACTGGAGATAGAGATCTGATGTTACACAATGATGACCACTTCATCCCTTCTTACATGTTAAAATATAAGAGTCCATACAGCAACACAGATGGATACAATTCTTAATTTTAGAAATTAAAAAAGTTGCACAGAATACAAAAGTGGCAGGTAAGAAAAATGGAGGTAGGAAATCATATAAAGAACCCAAGACAAACCTGAAACCTTGGGTAAAAAGCAGGATGTAAACATTTAATCAGGGTACATTTTCACAATAGAATTATATATTAACTTCTATTTTTTAAAGCTTCAAAATCAAACAAAGCTTCAGAAAAAACAAAACTTTTAAAAACACTACACTACTTTTCTAACAGTCACTAATAACCAAACTCATTCTTTTTACCTGATGAACTAGAACGACTTCCCATGCTGCTAACTTCTTTATCATAGTTTCCATTCTCAGCTTGATCTAATTTTCTTCGAGCTATGAGAAAAGAAAAGGGATTGCTTGTGACAGTTTTAATGACCATTTGCCCCATCATCTGATATTAATTGCTAAAGTCGCTTAGACAAAAATGCCATAGACTACAAGACAAAGTTCCTCAGTTTATTTCTTGGTATAGATGACCACTATAGATGTCATTCACATAAACTGACATTTGGAAACATACAGGTCAAATAAAAACTACATAGAAACAATATGACAGGTAATATTAGCATCATTTAGTTATTGAGCGATTTTAATTTTTAGAACCTTCAAAGATTTAGGAAATAATTCTCTGTATCAGAAATTTCCTCCAACCTTGCCTTCAATTACATATATAAAAAACTGAATTATTCTGACAACTATATTCATAAAGTAAACACTAAGCTTCTTCTCATTATGTTCTACTTTAAAACATAAACAAGTAGGCTATGCAGAATAAAAGGCTGTAATACCTTTCTTATTCATTGTATTCCAAACACATGGCACAAATGTCCAAAAGATCAGTATTTTTTTGTTTTTTTGAGACAAAGTTTCACTACACAGCCCTGGCTAAGTAGACCAGGCTGGCCTCAAACTCACAGAGCTCTACCTGCCTCTGCTTCCTGAGTGCTGAGATGAAAGGCATGCACCACCATGCCTGGCCCTTATTTTTTTATAGGTCAGGGTCTTGGCCTGGAGAGATGACTTACTGGTTAAGAGCACTGGCTGCTCTTGCAGAGGACCCAGGTTTGATTCCCAGTACCCACATGGCAGCTAACAACCACACATAAGTCCAGTTTCAGGGGACTGACCTACATGGGCATTGCATGACATGGGTGCACTTACATACATGTAGGCAATACACCCATATACATAAAATAAAAATAAAACAGCTAAAAAAAAAAAACCAAAACAGGGTCTAACAGAGCTCAGTTGGCTTTGAACTTGCTATGTAGCCGAGAAGACCCTGCTCACCCTGCCGGGATTATAGGCATGTACTATCATGTAGGCTTGTATGCATTTTTAATAGGAGAAACCTGGATCCCAATTCAATTATTAATTGCTAAGCCCAGGTATTCATGTTTCTGGTATGTTTCCTGAGACCCAGATGAAGAGTTTGGTCTCAACATCTAAGCTAGAGCTCTGCAACAAATCAGCTCACAAGCACATGCAAGGCAAAACTCTCAGAACTGCCACCTATATTCAAACACAGATTGTTCTGAATTTCTCTCTCACATTTTCTAATACACATAAACATACAGTAATATAGGTAAGTGTACTTGTGTCCTGCAATGCCCACAGAGGTCAGAAGAGGCTGTTGGATCCCCTGGAACTGGAGTTACACACAGTTGTTAGCTGCTATGAGGTTGCTGGGTTTCAAATCCGGGTCTTCTGCAAGAACAGTGTTCTTTAACACTGAGCCATCTCTCCAGCCCCACAGTAATATATTTTTAAATGTATAAACATATGAACTGGAGAAAAAAATACCTAAGTAATTTTTGCTGATTAAAAAAAAATGCAAGTAAGTTAGTTTAGATTTTACTGCCTGTCTTAAAATTCTTTCTCAATTTTCGCATTCTGTGGCTTTGTAAGCAGCCTTTTAGTATAGAAAACAGACTACTCATGGAATGCCAAGTTTAGAATTTGGTCTGTGAAGATTAACATAGTGAAAGAAAGGATATATACAGGATACACACACACACACACACACAGAGGATGGGCATGAGTGGCAACATTATTTTTAATAGGAGGTTGAGGCAGGAGAATTTTGTGTTTGAGGGCCAGCAAGACTGCCTCAAAAACTAAAAACCTCAACCAAAAACAGAAACCAAACAAACACATGACTCCAATTAATGTAGAACATGAAGCAAAATGTATTTTCCGTATCAAATCTTTAATGGCTGTAAGCACACACTCAAGGTCTCCATGTGGAAAAATTCTGTACCTTGCTGCAGTTGTTTGCTAAGATCCTTGACATTAGAGGCATGTTTACGTCTCTGAGTTACTAATTCATCTTTCAGTTCTTCTACTTGGGTACTCAAGGCTTTAACTTCTGTCTGTGCACAAGCAAGTTCAGCGTGCAGACTCTGGACTTCCTCTTTTTGCAGTTCTTCCTCTTTCAGCAATCTACTTTCCTGAATAATAAATACAATAAAATAAAACAATCACTGATTAGAATGTGTATTTCCATTGTTGCTCAAAATTTAAAACCTTAAAGCGATAAGGACAAGACTCCTCTACTGCTCTCCCTCAGCAGGTTCTGCTGGTTAAGCCCCTCCAAATCCTCACAGGCAGGGCATGTTAAGGGGCACGCCATTCTATATGGAAAACAACAGCAAAAGATGCCTCTGAATGGGGGAATTTTAAAGACGCAAATGTTTTTATGAGCAATTTGAAGGCATTCTTATTATTTGGAAATACCAAACCTCTTCCAATTATCAAAAAACTAAGAAATTTAAAGTATTATCTTAAAAGGTAAAACAAAAGTATTTAAAGTATTACCTTTAGTTAGAAATGACAGAAATCATGGTTTCCTTACTTTCAAATGTATAATACTATTTACCATTTTAGGGAGAAATTTTATTACAAGCATATTCATTAAACCAAACCAAATATATATTTACAGAATTTAAAATTAATCAGTGCTGAAAGAGCCTAAATTAACTATTATTAAACTTTCATGCTGCCAGGGAAATGTAATCTGTGCTCCTTGCTATGTTGTTTTAAGGAGTTAAATGCACATTTTATACTTACCAAATTTACATTCATCTGTTTCATTTGTTCACACTGGCTTTGCAACTGACTTTCACTGCAGGAAAGTTTATCAACTTGTGACTGCAAAGAATTGGATTCAGACTGCAGTTGTGCATTCTTACTGGTGAGCTTTTCTGTGAACAGCAGGAGCTCAGACTCTCTTTTCCTACTACCTTCGATGTCCTTTTGTAGGTCATTAATCAAGGAATTGAGATTCTCTACTTCTTCCTTCAAATGTTCAATTTCTTGTTTACTTCTAAAAAACAAAGTTTATATTTAAGAAAAATTTAACTATTAAAAGACATTACATGGTGGTGCATGCCTTTAATCCCAGCACTCAGGAGGCAGGGGCAGGTGGATCTCTGTGAGTTTGAGCACAGCCTGGTCTATATAGTAACTTCCAGGGCAGATGGGGCTACAGGGAGACTCTCATTCAAAAAAGACCAAAATAAGAAGAAAAACAAAAACAAAAACAAAAAACCCATTACAATGGTTTGTGAATTCTCATTTAATGAAATGCCTTACAAAGGTTCTTTTGCTTAACTCATCCAAATCTTTTTGAAGGCCTAGACATCTCAGAAAGTAAGGGCTATGAAGGCAAGCAGCAAGGCCCCTGCTTTCAAAGAGCTTTAACCCAGCAGGGAAATTACATGGGTGTGATCAAACACTGAGACAAAAACACTGAACAGGCATTGGAACTCGTCTGACTGCTGCCCAAGCTAACACCTGAGTAAGCATGACCACCTTTTCCTACGAAAGAGCAGACAGCAAAGACGTCAAGTTCTGAGCCATCTGGGGTTCTGCAATCATTCTACTTTACCACTATAGTGTGAAACATCCACAAACAAAACACAAATTAATGTGGCTCTATTCCAAAGCACCTTCACTTTAAAAAGAGGCTGTGGGCTAGATTTGGTGTGTGGGTCTCAATTTGTCAATCCCTGACCTAAGGAAAAGCTGAAGTTAGTGGAAGAATAAAGTATGTTCCAAGTAAAAGAACGCGAATAGGCCTTCTTGCTGGTGCCAGAGACTCAGTCCTGAGGAGAAAAATGACTGCATTCTGTCCCTAGCACTTAGCCCATAGAGGCTTGACACAGTCTATAAACATTTGTTAAGTGATTTCAGATGGAAAACAAGAGTGAAGACAGTGAAGGCGTTCAAGAAGAGTCAGGCCACTAGCTCATAACCATGCTAAAGCATGTGAATTCAAGAGGCAATGAGAATCAACAGGAAAATCACTGAAAATTGAGAAATGTTTTAATTTTTTAAATATTTCATTTAATTTTTATTTTATGTGCATGAGTGTATTGCCTGCATGTATGTGGGTGCACCTGTGTCGTGCAATTTTTTTGTCTTTTTGAGACAGGGTGTCCCTGTAGCCCTAGCTGGCCTGGAACTCACTATGCAGACCAGGCTGGCTTCGAACTCAGAGATCTGCCTGCCTCTGCTGGGATTAAAGGCGTGTGCCACCACACCCAGTAGAAATTGTGCTAATATAGGGTATGCACTGGCTTAGAGAGCAAGAAGAAAAACCAGTTGTAAGCTGTGGCAGCTTTCCAGAGGAGAGCAGACAATGGCTTGTACTATGGGAGTAGCAGTAGGGATGTAAAAAGTAAATGGAAATGAGAGATTTTTAAAAGTTGCAATCACAAATACTTGTGCTGGTTAGGTATATGAGGAGAGGGAAGGAGGAGCAAAGGATGGACCCCAAGTTCTTGGGTTGGATACTCATGTGGATGCTACATTCATAATGCCTCACAGGAACCTTAGAGGAGAACCGTATTTGTGGGTAGAAGAAAGGAATCAATTTTGGACATGTTAAAGTTTGAGGTTTTGGTACTTATGTGTTTGAAGCTAAGAAAAAGATGACTAAAGAGAATGTTCCTAAGGACCTTCCGTACAACCAGAAGAATTAACTGGGATTCCTCAGAGGTGTAATAAAATTGGAGCACAGGAAGGCTTTCTGACACAAAGTTAAACCTGCCATAGGGACTGATAAAGGGTGGCCAGAAAAAAACAGGAAGAATATAAGCAAGCACAATGAAGCAAAAGGAATAGAGCAATGTATCAGGAAAGATAAAGACAGTCATGATAAGAGATACTAGAGCTTCAAGTCTGGGTCATACACACACATGCAAGGCATAATTAATTTTAAAAAGGTTTTATTATTTTTATTTTATGTGTATGAGTACTGCCTGTATGTAAGTCCACCCATGTAACATAATACCCATAGAGGCTTGTAAACTCAGTGCTAGGGATATGGAAAGAGGTAGATCCCTGGCTAGTCAGCCTACTCTAGCCACCAAGTCCTAGGTCCTAGTGAGAGACTGTCTCAAAAAACCAAGGTGAAATGATACCTGAGGTTGACTTCTGGTTTCCACAAACACACATGCACAGCCATGTACATGCATCTGCACATGCACACAAAGATACATTCATATATAAAGCTGATCTTAGTCAAAAGGCTGAGAAGCAATGTACCCTTGTTCATATTGAAATGCAGAAAGGGGGGCTTCAAAAGATGGCTCAGCAGTTAAGAGCACTTGTTATTCTTGTAGAAGACCAGGGTTTGGCGCCCATCACCCACATGGTGGCTCATAACCACTTGTAACTCCAGTTCCAGGGAATCTAATGTCCTCTTCTGGATGTCATGGGCACCAAGCATGCATGCAGTACACTTGCAGACATGCAAATGAATACTCAGACACATAAAATAAAAATAAATTTTAAACTATAAATGTAGAAAGGAAAGTCAGCAGAGACAAAAGAGATAAAGGGTAAGGAAGGCGTGATCTAGAAAGACCCTAGGAAGGCAAAAGATCGGATCCACAGCAGAAGTAGGAAGAATAACCAAATTCAGAGCAGGCACTTCTTCCACAACAGAAGCAAAAGGAAGAATGGTCAGGGTGTGTTGCTTCAAAGAACAAGCAAGGTTCTAGAGCAGCAAGGTTCTGTCAAGCTCTAATTTTTTCTGTCATTAGTCTCATGCTAGGAGTAGAAAGGTCAAGTCTAAAGGGTGACAAAGCAGTAAATCGTAGAAGAGACATAAGGGGATGGGATGGAAGGCTTCAACCAAAAACCCATGGGAGGAGAGGATTATAGGTATGTCTGCATTCCAGGCTGAGGCTGTGACCCCAAGTTTACAGCAGTATCAACTGTGAGGAGACTGAAGATTTGTTTAGCAGCACTCAGCTGCCAGGGAATGGGAGGTACAGAAAGAATAAAATACTTAAATTCAACCTGAATCTAATCCCTGCCAGATGATGTCATGAATAAAGTTTAAATGGTTTTATGAGACATCAAGGAATAAAGTCAGCTTCTGATCACAAGCCATACACGTGCAAAGATCTAGACAAAGTAAACACCCTGCCTCAGTGACAATTTTAACCTAAAAATAAACTAAATTCACTCTTATAAATTGCTACTACCAATGTTTATGGGATATAAACTTGGATTTGATTTTTAGATACCATGATGAGAGTTCAAAGATAATGAAGTTCACTGATAAGAAATTCAAAATTTTTAACCAGTAGAATTTTAAGTTATTCTTATCTGACAATTATTGCACTAGAAAACACTCTAAAGACAGAACTGAAAAGCCTGTTTATTAAGACAAACCGAAGTCATTCGCTTCACACCTTTGAAGCTGCTCCTGCATCTGATCTGCAGTCTTCACTTTGTCCAATAAATTCTGAATTTCAGCTTTTTGGCGATTAATAATTTCCTTATATTTTGATAGTTCATCTTCTGTTCTTAATCGTTCATCTTCTAGACATTTTGCCTATAAAATAATCACAACCAAGCTAAACTGCAGATTATAAATTCTAAAGCACTATTAGCGTGAAGAAAACACAATCTTCCCTACCTACCTTAAGTAAGTGACATGGAGAAAAATAGGAACAAATAGGAACAATACTTAGAATACTGTTGGGTGATCTCAAAATGCAAGGTGTTTACTTAAAACCTTACTTCTAAATAAAGTGATATGTAGGGAAAATATATTAATATTAAAAGACATTACTGATACTAAAGACTATAAACATAGAATTTACCAAAATTGTTAGAAATTAAACAGTATCAATCTAAGCTACTAAATACAGCCAGGAATTTAAAAAAAAAAAAAACAAAAAAAAAACCCACCCATTCAGATACTGCATGTACACAGTGCACTTACATGTAGGCAAAACACTCATACACATAAAAATTATTTTATTATTTTTATTTTATGTATATGAGTGTATTGCCTACATGTATGTGAGTGTATCTCTGTCGTGCAATGCCGCAGAGGTCAGAAGAGGGCTTCAGATTCCCCTGGAACTGGAGTTAAGGATGGTTCATAGTTGCCACATGGGTGCTAGGAATTGAACCTAGGTCCTCTGCAAGAGCAGTCAGTGCTCTTAACCGCTGAGCCATCTCTCCAGCCCCAAATTTAAAAAAAAAAAAAATTTATATAAAAAATAAAAAGAGCTGGGCGTGGTAACACACACCTTTAATCCCAGCACTTCAGAGGCAGAGTCAGGCAGATCTCAGTGACTTCAAGGCCAGTCTGGTTTACATAGTGAGTTCTAGGCCAGCTGGGGCTACAGGGAGACCCTGATTCCAAAAGATAAAAAATAAAAAATAATGTCATGTTCTGACACAGATTCAAGGTCCACCATTGGTTTGCTGAAGGCTGTGTCTAGATCAAAGGCCCAAGGACAGGTTATGGTACAGCAGGTATACTACCAAATAGGAGTGTGCGGCAGGTACTTCAAAGGGACTGATGTACTTCCAATTCTTCCAAGGGAAGAGTCAGCTCCATTACTAAGGAATTGCTATTTTATTCCTGAGCTCTTTTATTTGGAAATATTTCTAAATATTCTTTCTCCACTACTTTAAAAATTAGAGTAAATTCTAAGTTAAAGGTATTTACCCTAACTTTGGAGTCTCAACCGAAGATTTGATTACCTTTGTTCTCAATGTTCGAAGCTCATCCATGCCCTCCTTAAATGTCCTCTTCAGATCTTCTAGTTCCTTTATTTTGGCATGATGCATCTGTAAAAGAAACCATAAGGCACTAAATGAGATCTGAAAATTATTGCTGCTTCTTCTAAACAGGCCTTGAATGCAGATGGCAGTGGGCACTCTTCTTCTCTTTCTGAATTTCTAGGCTATCATGGATATTTATTACAAAATCCAAAAGAACAAAACTACCCACCTCTAGCTGATCAGATTTCTCCTGCATTTGCTTTTCAAGTTCTCCTTTTGTGACTCTAAGCTTTGCATCAAGTTCATTTGACTTAATTTCTTCTGATTCCTAATGGAAAGAAAATGAAAAGCAAAACTTTTAAGGTTTTATACTTTAAAAATGAACACAGCTGGGAGGCAGAGGCAGGTGGAGCTCTATGAGTTTGAGTCCAGCCTGGTGTACACAGTGAGCTCTAGGCCAGCTGGGGTTACAGGAAGACCCTGTCTCAAAAAGACAAAAAGAAAAAGAACAAAACTTTGCAATCAAATTGTTTTGTGGGTGGTTGCTTGTTGAGACAGGGTTTCACTATGTAGCCCTGGCTAGCCTAGAACTCACTACGTAGAACAGGCTAACCTCGAATGCAGAGATCTGCTTCACTGAGTGCTAGGATTCAAGGTGTGGGGCCACCGGGCCCAGCTACTAATTTTGAAATGAACAGGTTATGTACCTAAAATTGGAGAATACATCAAAGGATTTAAAATGTTAATTCTGTAGAACAAGAATAGCACACTTAAGATATATACCATAATACAGAAGTTTTTTTCTTTTAAAAGTAGTACATTCTGCTGGGCATGGTGGTGCATGCCTTTAATCCCAGCACTTGGGAGGCAGGCGGATCCTCTGTGAGTTCGAGGCCAGCCTGGTCTACAGAGTGAGTTCCATGTAGCTGGAGCTACAGGGAAGCCCTGTCTCAAAAAGACCAAAAAATTTCATTTTTTGATTTATTTTTATGTGTATGTTCTGCCTGCTCTATGTAAATGCACCATGTGTGTGCACTGTGCATGAAGGCCAGAAGAGTCCATTGGATCCCCTGGAACTGGAGTTACAGATGGTTGTTAGCCACCATGTGGATTCTGGGAACTGAACCTGGGTCTTCTGCAAGAGCAGTCAGTGCTCTTAACTACTGAGCCATCTTTCTACCCCAAGAGAACAAATTTCAAGAGTTGATTCTCTCCTACCCTGTGGGGTACTGGGGATAGAACTCAGGTCCTCGAGCTTGGAGGCAACTACATTTGCCCCCTGAGCCATCTCACTAGCCCAAGATTAATGATTGATGCTGCCTGCATAAGGCTGGGACCTGGATCTGGAAATCCTACAGTTTAAAAAAAAAAAAAAAAACGTAGTACATTTCTTTGTACTCTGCATTATTCCTATATTTTCTAGGAATTTTACTTGATTGAAAAGGTCTCATCTATCTGAGCTGCAGGTTCTTCTGAGCATGCATGGATGTGTGCATGTACATTTGAGTATGCATGTGCTTATGGCAAAGACTGACAAGAGGTCACACAGGATCTCACTGAACCTGGAGTTGACTGATTTTATTAGACTGGCAGGTCATCAGGGATCTGCCGTCCCTCTGCCTGGCCCCTCACTCCCCAGTGCTGGGGGGTTATAGATTCAAGTTGCCATGTGAGTACCCCAGTCAGTTCTCATGATTGTCTGACAAGCATTTTCCCAACTGAGCCATCTCCTCAGCCTGAAACTGCATGCAGGTACTTTAACATAGGAAATAACCAGCACCTTATTAAATGTCCTAATAAATCTATTGTACATTTCAAATTTGGCAAATAAAGAGATTTAATGAAAACAGTGATGCTAATTAGCATAACTGGTTACTAATACATTTTAAAGGAAAGCATACCTGGTATGTTTTTATCATATCCTGACAGTTTTGTCGGATCTGATCTGCTTCTTCCTTTGCTTGTGTTAACTTTGTAGTTGTTTCTTTGAGTTTATCTTTGGTTTCCTACATTGACAAAGTAACAGACAAAATTAGCCACATTGCTATGATGACCAGTGAGCAGTGACTAGAGTAGAAAATTCTTCTTCTAGCAATACACTGAGGGCTAAGACTTGTTTCTGACAAAGTTAGAATGGTTAATTGATAGGTATTAAATAAAGTTAAATTTGACAGAGTTTTCACCAAATTCTTAGAAATAGTAAAGTATTAAATAGTTCTTTTGCACACCCATGAATTAATTCTTTAGTGTATGGCTGTGATACCTATGTGAAACTGCCTTTTGATTGAATGACTACAATGTGTTTTCAGTTTCTAGTCATTTGTCTAAAATGGCAATTTTGAGGGTTTTTCAGGGATGATTTTTGTTAAATCCAATTACCTTTTCTCATTTTTCTACTTACCTGGTTCAGTCCTCACCACCCCCGACTCTTTAAATATCTTTCCTCTGTTCCCACTGCAGGACAATACATTCTCTTCTCTTTTTCATCTTCACTATTCCCTGGTTGGCCTTCTACTCTGCCGTAGTGTCCCCCTCGGCCTCCTGACAGCAGATGCAATGTGACCAGCCACCTTGAACTCCCACTGCCATGCCTTCCTGTCCATAATGCACTGTTATCCCCTCAAACCACGAGCCAAAATAAAGCATTCCGAGCTTTGTGACAGGCATTTTGTCATAGCAATGAGGAAAGTAATTAACAAAACTTAGTGAATTAATGGCAGACTAACGTAAGCCTTCTGTTTTAGTCAGGCTGGTCTTCCAAACACCAAATACTCACTTCCTTCCCTTTCTTCCTTTATTCTTTTTGTTTATGGACTTGAAATGGCTTTTGCTCTTATCTCTTAAAACATTTCAATTGCATCTAGGCTTCAAATACTACGTCATATACCATTTTAAAAGCAAATATCACAACACTAAGTACTTAGGTATATACCTTGAGTTACTGGATCTTTAACAGTAAATTGCCATGCACTAAAACTGAGTATTACTTAAAATAGAAATACAAATAATTTGGATTCTTTTCTGAGACTTGATAAGCAAGAGGGCTACATGATCATCATCACCATCATAAATAAAATACAGCCTGGCATACAGTTCACAAATACTTCACCCCAAAAAACCAGCAGCCAAGAGATTTCTAGATGCCATTATTTGAATCTGTTTATCCATTACTGAGTTCTTATAGGCACTATTTTTTTTAAAATCCTGTATGTACATATGTGTATATGCATATGTTAGTGTATGTGAGTATGGGAGTGCACAAGCCATTACATGTGTGTAGAGGTCAGATAATAATCTCAGATGTCAGTCCTCACTTCCAAGCCTTGTCTAAAATAAGGTCTTTGTTGTCTGCTGCTGTATACACTGGGTTAATCAGCCCACACGCTTCCAGGACTTCTCCTATCTCTGTCTTCAATCTCCCCATAGGAGCACCCAGCTTTAACATGGGTTCTGGGAATTTGAACTCAAGTCCTCACATCTGCAGGACAAGCGCTTTCCACCATGCCAGCTCCCCAGCCCTTATAGGCACTGTTCTATGCTCACGGGAAATAGTTGTGTAAGCATACAAAATCTCTAATTCATGAAGCTGATGGTCCAACTATGAGTTAAATTTAGATAAAATACATAAGAAAAAGACAAGGGACAAATGCTAGAGTAAAAATAAAGCAAAAACATAAAGTTTAGGGAGATGTTCACGGTTTAAACAGAGTGGCCAAGGAAAGTTTCACTGAGAAAGTGATGAATAAATAAAGGCTTAAAAGGCATCAGGTGAGAGGCTGGATATGGTGAGTAAGAGAAATCAAGTGTAAATCCAAACCCTGAGCAACTAAGAGTGGGTTGTTGGCTATTAAGATAGGGAAGTAACAGAAGGAAAAAATACATTAGTTCATTTTAGGCATATTAAGTTTAAGATGCTATAAGTTATTCAAGATGTTGGGTAAAGAATACAGTAGAAAATAGGAATCAGGAATCTGGTGTTGTACTCAGGAATCTGGTGTTGTACTTAGAAGTTCTATAACTGGGAATCATATGAAATTGCTGGGCTTTTTTCTATTGTTGTTCTGACAGGGTTTCATGTAGCCTAGGCTGGCCTCAAAGTTGCTATGTAGATGAGGATGACCTTGAACAATGATTCTAACTCTACCTCCTGAGTGTTGGGATCACAGGTGTAAGCCATCAGGGCCAGTTGTATGAGAATCAAATCCAGACTGAGCTCTACACACACACACACACACACACACGCACACACACACACATCCTCAGCCTCTCTACTGCTGTTTTCAAGTCAACCATCTTGTGCTTTGCACTATTTAATCTTCAGTTAATTCTACCTATGGTATTTTTCTTAGATATTACATCAATATGGTCTTTTTTAAAGTAAGCATATCTTTCATGTCTCTATTATTCTCAAGTTTTGGTTTATCTCCTTGGTGATGTGGAGTATATTTATAATTCCCATTTTAACACCCCTGCCTACCATTCTGTATTATATGTAATTTCTGGATCTGTTCTTATTGATTGATTCTTTTCTTCCCACTATGGACTACATCATCCCGATTCTTTGCATGCTGATAATTTTTCATGAGATGCCAATGACAGTGAATGTTATGTTTTGGGGGCAAAGTTTTTAGATTGACTAAAAATTTTTGGAATCTATTTTAAGTGCATAATTTACACTAAATAAGCTTAATTTTAAAGCTGTGTCAAATGGCTCCCACAACTAAAGCAAAATTCTGTGTTAAGAGTTCTCTCTTTCAGGCTGGTGGCAACAGGAGCATTTCCTAGCCCTGCAGGTGGGTGCTTGGCCTACTACTTTTTCATCTCCAGACTCTTCCCTCCTGTTCTCAACACTCTGAACTTTGTCTCTTCCATTTCGGAAGACTGCTAGGCTGGGTTTCAATTCCTCTCCTCATGCTGCAGCCTGAAATCTGACATTAAGCATCATTTGTTTCTTCACTGAGGAATCACTATCCTATGCAGACCCTTGTTTCATTTCTAAAAACACTAATTTAAATATATTTTTATTGTTTTCTTTGGACTCTGTGTGGGTTTGAGGGTTAGTTTAAGGGTGAGAGGATACATCTGGACCTTGTTATCAAATGCAAGAGTACAGTCAAGAAAATAAAGGATTACCATGGAACAAAGCGGAGACTACAGCTCACTATGTAGAATGAAGTGGCAAAACTACTATAAAGCTAGCTCTTGGTTTAATTAATGAGTCTTCTGTGAAAACAAACCACTTAAGAATAAAGGTATCACTGATAACACACTGACTCTGGGAGGAAAGCACATTAAGCAACAATCTTGCTTTGGGTAACTGAGTAGAAGGAACTTACAAAGCATGCCAACGCTAGTCACATATTAGGTGCAGTATGTTACAGTCTATTGAATCCTGCTGATCTAGATGCTTTGATACCTCAGACGCCACTCCAGAACTTCAGCTGAGGCAGAAATGTCTGGCAAGCACTCTGTATAGCCAGCCATATTTGTTTGTAGAACCTAGACTTTAAAAAATAATTTTAGTTAAACCCCTAGAGGAGTTTAAAGAAGGGAATAATCAAGTTTTGTAGCTTGATCTCATGATCTGGGATCCAGTCTATAGTTTGGACTTCAATTCTGGCAATATGCTCTGAAGGTCTAACAAGCAGCTAAAGCTCACAAGGATCTAGAACCCACAGCATTCCAGTACTAACATCTAAGATCTGGGCAGTTTAGAAAAGTTTACTAAAAGGCTTGTGTCCCTTGACCACCTCTCAAATGGTTGCCTACACTGCTCCCGACCACTACTAAGTCTCCTATCTTTTGACCCAGTTTCCTTCTAACATCCAGGAGGCAAATATATAAATGAATAGGTAAGGAACTGGAGAGATGGCTTAGTGGTTAAGAGCACTGGCTGCTCCACCAGAGGACCTGAGTTTGGTACATGGTAACTAACAACCATCGTTAACTCCAGTTCCAGAGGACTTGACTCCCTCTTCTCTTCTCTGTGGGCATTGCATGACACAGGGGCACTAACATGCAATGCAGGCAAAACACACACATAAAATAGTCAATAATTTTTAAAATTAATTAATAGGTAAGTCAGGAGCCTATTTCAGATACTCTGAAAGCAAAGATTGTCTTCCACGATTTTTATATCCTCTGTATTATTTAGCGCCATGCTAACCAGAGCTAAATGCTTTATTGTGTAACCAAGTTCCTTTATTTAAAAAAGCAGTAAACATCCAATTTCCATAGAGTAGATCAATATGGCTTCTATTTTCATTTCTACCAGTCCACGCCATGCACCCTTTAAGAAATCAGCTTTAAATCACTTCTCTAAACTACTACTTACAGAGAACTTGTTTCATCTCTCAAACTTGCCAACAAAAGTCCTTTGTCATCCGATCTTTAAATACACAGGACTCACATACATGCAAGTTTTCCACTCCATAATGCTAATATACTAATGGGTTTTAAGATCCTTTCACCTAAGACTACAGATGAAGATAAAGTGTCACAGACATTAGAAATGCCCAAGCGTTATGTTCAAATATTAAAGCAACTCAGGCATTTAGAAATTATTCTTTATGAATTTGTAATTTAAACTCCACATTCTATAACCCAAAGTAAAGGGAATATTCTGAATAGCTCAGGTGAGTTACTCCACTGCCTCCTGGAAGTTCCTTCTCTGCCTCAGTGGTTTCCTCACACACTCATGACTCATGAGTGATGGGAACAACCAACCATTCCACTAACCTACTTTTGATCATTCTCAACATAGACTACCTATGGTTTTCTGATACTAATATACAAATATCCAAAGGTTAACAACTTTTTGACTTGAATAGCTTAATACGGTAATAAAGAATTATGATTTCAGATAGTATCATTAAACCTATTTTAGAAGACTTGGAAACTGACATCTCCATAATGTTGCTCTTCTCTTTAAGCCACATTTCAGAGTTATTCTTTTTTTTAAAAAAAAATTATTATTGTGTATGAATGTTTTGTCTATATGTAAGTGAACCATGTTGTGCAATGTCCGTGAAGGTCAGAAGAGGGCATCAAGATACCCTAGTATTAGAACTGGGATTATGGATGGTTGTTAGCTGCATGTGGGTGCTGAGAATTGAACCCAGATCCTATGCAAGAGCAGCCAGTGCTCTTAACTGCTGAGCCATCTCTCCAGCCCTTCAGGGTTTTCTTTTAGTTTATATTCTACCATGTGCAGATTGTTATCTCCTCAAAGATCAGGTCTGCTTATGGGTGAAATTATGGCCTCAGTTATGACTTCATAATTACATTTCATTATGTTAACTTTTTTTTTTTTTTTTTTTGCTAAAATGGTATTTGTGGGAAGTAGTTTAGTGTCAGGGTTGCCTAGCATGTGTGAGATCCTAGATTCAATCCCTAGCACCATACATACACAGACATACATATATACACACACACAAGTTTTTGTTAGCATGGTACCAATGGAATTATATTTATAAAAGCAGAGAACTTTCTATTAGATTCATTATATTGAAATACAACCATATATTTCTTTTTTGTAATTTATTTTTATTTTATGCATTTGAGTGTTATGCCTGCATGTGTGTAAGTGCACCTGTGTCATGCAGTGCCCATGGAAGACAGATGAGGGCATCAGATTCCCTGGAAATGGAGTTATGGATGGTTGTTAGCTGCCATGTGGGTGCTGGGATTCAAATCCAGGTCTTCTGCAAGAACAGCTAGTATTCTTAACCACTGAGCCATCTCTCCAGCCCAGTATTTCTTAATCATAAAAATCTTAGTATCACTGATACTTTAAAAACTTTAAGTCTACTTTCAATAACATACATTATATATTTCTCCTCCCCTCAAATTTTGAGCATTAAAAAAAAAAAGAATAAAGAACATGGAAAATTTAGGTGTGATAAATTATGAATTGCAAAATTTAACAGTCTAACCCACATAAGAAAATTTCTTTTTTATGATCACCCAGAATTCAGAGTCAAGCTAGTCTGCAGGAGTTGCTAAAGGACACACCACGCCCCATTAACTGCTACTGTGTTCCCTCTTAACATTGGCAGTACTCACCTTGTGTGAATCCACTTCAGCTTTTAACTTGTTTTGTGCCCACTTCACTTTAATGATGTGAGAGTTGATCTCTTCCTTTAATTTGTCTATTTCTCTGATAAGTCTGGTCGTTTCACCTTCCTAAAATGACATTAGGTCATTTTTTTTCCACTTAATCAACTAATTATCTGTGCCCCTTTAAAGTAATCAAAGCGATAATGCTATAATTCAAGGGCTGGTACACTATGGCCCACAGACCATAAAGCTGATTTAAGGTTCAACTGCTAAGAGAGTAATAGAATCCTAAATAAAATGAATAGACATGATGATAATTATCCTTACAGTTTAGCCAATTGGATGTGGTATAAGACAAACATACTTTGATTCTTTTTAATTGGCTGGCATTAAGTAAAACATGAACTGAACTGGTTTTGCCACAATTCCTAACAATAACAATGTTTCTAAACTATAAGTTAATAGCAAAGGCTCTGAGAGCTACCAGCTTTAGTTATTAAATTGTTTAGGATGACATCTACAAAGAATACATTTTTCTATAAGAAAAACATAAATTATAGTCTATGGTAAATTAAGTGTTGCACTAAGACTCTGGTCAAGCCTAGGGATACAATTCAGCATCAGAGAACTTGCCTAGCATGTGTGAAACCTTGGGTTCAATCAATAGCACTTCAAAACAGATGAATAAATTAAAAAAAAAATCAAACAAAACATTCTGTATTACGTAAAACCAAATTTGGTTCTAAAACTATTCACAATTGACATTACTATGTATATAGCTTACCAAAATAAAAATTTTCTTTGAGGTATGAACTAATTTTTTTCAAATATGTAGATTTTTTTTTTTTTTTTTTTTTTTTTTTTTTTGAGAGAGGGTCTCCCTGTAGCCTTATCTGGCCTGGAACTTACCACATAGACCAGGATGACCTTGAACTCAGATCCACCTGCCTCCATCTCTTGCAAAAATGCAGTTTAAAAATGACTAAGAAAATGTTACCCAATAAACAGCATATGCCAGTACTTCCTCTTTCCCTCAGCAAACCTCAGCCATCAGATGAGCTACCTAAAATAGTCATGTTTTTAGTAAGCATAATAATAATACTTTAAAAAGTACTTTATGTTTGAGTGTTTTAATCACATTATCATTATTTAAGGAAAAGTAAAGAGAATGAACTTCAAGTAAGGCAATGGCACAAGTTATACCTTTGTTTCATATAGTTGCTGCAATCGTCCTTTCTCCTGAGAAAGCTGCTTAATTTTGTTAGTGTTTTTCTCAAATTCTTTATTTGCATCTCTAAGTTTTCTCTCAAGTATTTCTTTTTCCTTTCGAAGATCTAAGGACTCCTTCTCACCTCTTACATACTTCATTACCATTGCTTCCTTTTCCTGGCGTGCCTCTTCACATTTCTTCGTGGCCTTGGAAAGAAAATGTTATCTAGCATCAACAAAAATTATTTTTCAAATAAAACAAAAGTTGCAATGCCTGATTAAAGAGAAAATTCACTGCTGGAGTAATTTAACCAGCCCAGAGTGAGCCTGAGGTGTTCTGATTTCTCCTCATATTTACTGAGCATATCAAGTAAAGGAAAAGCATCCCCATGTGGTGCTTTCAATATTTGTGGGATATGAGCTGTTTTCAACATCATCAATGCCACATCTCAAGTACATACGAACATTGTTCTGAGTCAGGAGCATAACTGAGTCACAACAGAGAACATCAGAAATGATATAAAATTAAAGCTATGCGTTCAGCTTGGCTTTTAAGGATTAATTACAAGGGGATTCCAAATCATTGTAAGACTGATTACACTTTTTCTTAGAGGTTAATTCTAAACAAGCTGAGTACTCAGTATGTGAACAGAAGGAGTATATGTTTCTAAATGTTTTCAAAACACATGACTCTTGGTTTCAGCAAAAACTCAATTTGTAAAGACTTGTTACAAAGAGAAATTTCCCAGGAGTCATTCGTCATTCCCATAAAAACATATACAAATAGGTAATATGTCCTGTAGTATTAGCAACCTATTTTTTGCTGCTGTTGTACAATGTTCC